AAGGTGCGTCATATACGGCAAACCGGCCATGGGAGCAAGCCTTCCAGGTCCTCGAGGAGGAACAACGGCAGCACATTGTCCACAGAAAATTTGGGCTCGACCTTGTCTGCCTGTTTTTGGAATTCTTCTCCCAACAGAACGGCATCAAGAGGTCCGATTCGGTTGGAATGCTGGTACAACGGATCTATCAGTTGAACAAGATTCTGGTTCTATGTAAGACTACTACTTCTTTTCCCATGTTAACAACTTAGCATAACCCAAGATTATTCACCATTCTCGCATCTAATTGAAGTATGAGATACACACAATACATTTCCCAATCTCATCTCGCATTGCACGTGATGTGCTTGCAATTCGTGGTGTGAGCATCACGGTAGAATGCCTCATCTCAAGCAGCAAAGACACAATGTCGGATGCCTGGTCCTCTATGGTTGCGGCAACTGTGTCGGCCACCATCGTCGCGAAAGAATTACTCAAGGCTGGGTTCAGCGAGGGTCTCAACTACCTGGAGGGTATTACAATCCATTAATTATGATTAAATTTGATTATCTTTCGAATACAATACATTATAATACACTTACCATTATATTATGGCTATATTAAATTATGATTACAGTACATTATGGACTGGCAGCGTATTTAATCATAATCTTCCAGCCTTACAAGCGAACTGACGGAATACTGGACCTCGAAGATGGGACACAAAGCGACGGCCGTTCCGGATCCCTCTGAAAGGGGGGAACATCGTTGAAGCCTATAAGAGAGAGCGCCGAGGATCAAAACAAAATGCTTGAGGACGGAATTGTCGGGAGGAGAGGAGACAATACGAGCAAGTCCTCCGAATGTGAAGGAAGAGGTGTTGCCAGCCCACGGGTTGAAGTGCATACTGGCAGCCCGGCGAAGATAAAGCCAGTGCAGGCAATAATCCGCTGAATCGGTGCTGGATTGTATTCGGAGAGTAGAGCCGCGGTTGGGGTGATGGACTTGGTTCGGATGCGAATTCTGCGCGAGGGTGGTGAATGGTGTGTGCGCCAGAATACCCATCGAAAGTGCTCTGATCTTCGCAGACCATCGATGATATGGGGAATTGAAGGCAGGGAGACGGAGCCGAGCACTACAAAAATGCCCGCTATCGCAGGACAATGCATTCTCGATGAGCAACGGAGGAGCGTCCTATTGGCGTGCGTAATGCGCTGTTTTTTCAGCGAGTCGTGCGTTTTGCGATCGGCTGCGGTGGCAAGCTAGGGAAGTGCGTCGAGACGCTAGGCGAGAAACGGAGTTTGATTTGGATGGTATTTGATTCGTCAAGTGCGAGTGCGAACGGCAATGGGGTGAGGAGGGACGGAGTCGCACTTGTGTCGAGCTCGACAGGCGCGTTAGGTCTTTGGGGGCTATGGAAAGGCGTCTCCTCTCGTCACTCGTGTCTTCGTCGTCCACGTCGGACCTCGGTCAATGATGCTACACCTAGCCGAATCTGAGCGAGTCATCCTCGATTTGTGGCTCGTCCCCACCGCACAGATGGTCGTATCCTGAACGTGAGCCAGAGAAGTTGTAGACTCGAGAGTGAGGAGAATGAAGAAGTTGGGGCAGTGCTTGGAGTCGCGCGCCCACGTGCTTTACGGACCAGGTAAACACGCACAAGCACCACGCGTTCGGGACCAAATCGCGGAGCATTTTGCCGCCCTTTTTTTGGGACTTGCGCTGCATGCACGCATTGAGTGACTCCTTGTGAAAATCACTTGACCACATGAAACTGGACGTCATAAGAATCCGAGGATCGTTGTTTTGATTGTGTTGTTTATATCTAGTAAATGAAACATCGGAACAGATCCTTATATATAAATTAGCACTTGACGAACATATCCGGATGCTTGGCATCCAGTTATCGGTTCGATTTCTTCCAGTTCGACATCTGGAATTATCTGGGCACGAAACGGTGCCTCATTGTTTTAGATGTCCGAACGATTTTCAATCAATCCCAGAATTCGCATTTTACTATGCATCCTGCGGCTGAAGAACGGAATTAGAGAGGTCACAACGGGCAGTTGACGTCCAGCCGCAAACAAATGTTTGACAGACATGTTGTTCCCGCGCAGGGTTCGCTGTCAGCGGCCCTGTGATGTCTTCGCAGTCCAGCCGGAACTTATGGCCACAATAATTCAACCATACATTTCGAGATCTGACGGAAAACAGTCGGTTTACGTCGGCATGTGACGAAGTCGACTCTGACATATCCTAGTGAATTCGCTCAATCGTGGTATGGATAAAGGTGGTGCCCCAAGTTCCCGAGATGAAGACCGTGGATGCAACACGTTGCGTTGGCATTTCTGGTGCCACGAAGCGAGTCGAAAATTAGCCCACGGACCATGTGGACCTCAGAATGCAGTGACGGCTCCAATAGCCGTCCCCAGAATACCGAGTCGGAAGCCGAGGAGGTCCGATGGGTCGCTTCCCAATCGCGACACGAGGGAAGAAAGAAATAGGTGACACGTCATAGACATAAAAAAACGCCACGGATTCCAGTTCTGAGGAAACGTTCTTTGAATCAGAAGACTGTCCCAACAGAACATAGGACGGATGAACGCACGTGGATTTACAAACTCTGTCGAATCCGTTGGTCAATGGTGAATTATTTGCAACCGTCCCTACGGTGCCTCATGTTCTCAGCACTAGTACTTTATTTACGGGTGAAAGTTAACCCTGATTTTGAACAGGTACGTGCCCGCGATTCCGATGACGTCCATACTTCTTGAAAGACCAGCAGAGACACACGTATATGGCCATTGGCAAGAATCTTTTCGGCGCCTTCTGGCATCAATGCTGTTAATCAGAAAGAAAATTGGGAGTGAACTCCACTTTCCTGTGTCGGATTAAATTGCACACGATCCTGGGGCGCGGGCAAGGTGAGACACCCGTGCATCGTTGTGTGGTGTCCGTGTCTTGATGTGAGATGCTGGCGGCCCTGATTTTGCCGATTTTATCGTCCACAGAGCTCCACAATACGTTCTCCAAATTTTAGAGTTTCGGGGCACCTGGGAATGAGCCCCAACGCGGGTGTTTAATGCAACACTGACCGCGGCCGGTAATAATGACGACATCCCTGAGGATGAGGATAAAAGCCGCAGCCTCCGACCTCGAATCCTCACTCGAACACATCACCTGTAGTTCAAGCCTTCTAGTCAATTCCGAACATGTTCTCTAAGCTCTCTGTCATTGTCACTTCGGTGCTCATTGTACGAGTTCTCTTTTGATGTCGCCGATGTCGCTGACAGTTGTATTTCAGACCCTTGCTGCCGCCATTCCCAACACCACTCCCCCGGTGACCCCCCCGACCTCCGACCAGTGCTGCACTAGCGTTGTCTCCTCCACCAGCACTGCGGCCTCGGCCGTCGCTGCCCTTCTCGGCCTCGACCTCACCGGCCTCGACGTCCCCGTCGGCCTGAGCTGCTCCCCCATCACCGTGATCGGGAATAACTGGTAGGTTTTCGCATCAATACGTTGCGAGCCGAATCCTAATCTTTACTCAGTGGAGGCACCAGCGTTACCTGTGACGCGCCCGACCGGGAGTGGGGCGGCCTCATCGCCATCAACTGCATCCCCATCACGCTTTGAGTTCTTGACGATGATTCATGAATACCGATTGAATGTTTGGAAGGAATATTTGTGCCCAGTTGTGTAGTTTGTTGTGCTTTGACCCAATTGTATGTTGTTGAGTCTTTTGATGATCTGGCCATCCCATTAGTAGTAGTAGGCATGCCTTTGTGAGTTCTGCGACATTTATTCGGTGAAACACCTAACGACCAAGAGGCCCATAGATGCTGGCTTGAGTGGAACCATTCATTGGATGAATCCAGAAGAATGAGGCGATATATCAAAGAGCACTTGCGTGAGAAGGCTTCTCGTACATGGAAAAAGAAAAAAATCGAACCCACTCCAGCATGCCGATATGATCCGATCATCCGACATATCCGGTGGCTTGATGTCGAGGTTCCCGGGCAGCAGCGCTCCGCAACAAGAAAAGGAAAAAAGGAGCTCCAAAACTTGCAGGCATCCTTGAAGATACGTGTAGACTCCATGAGGAATCTCGTTCAAATTCGTGTTTCTTGATCGCGGAAGAAACGACACGTAACACGTTGAAGGTTCTTGGGTTCCTCTTTCACCGGAGCTGGAGCACGGTAATTTAAAACCATGCGTCCTTGTAGACTCCTTTGCGCAACATCTAGATCTCTCTCTCTATTTTCTGACGCGACATTCTCCGAGTCTCGGCCTGGAGGGCTCTAGTCTCTCTTGACAGACCGACCACTCGTAACCTCGTTTCTTAGGAGGGTTCCACTATACATTTTATCCTCCTCTATGGGATTTCCCTCATTTTCGTTTGTAACGGATCCCATCATGCCTGTTTCCAATTATCCAATATTCCCATTTCCTCGTCGCTCCCCCATGCACACAAATAGCCAGTGGCCACTCTCAATCCACGGACCGGCATCGGAAGGCCTGCATTCGCGCGTCATTACAACAAGCGCATATGGAGCATTCCGCCGTAATCACCCGTTCAATTCGGGTCGGTCTATTGGAGAGCCAGCGCAATACACTTTCCTTTCTTTCTGTGGTCTGGCTACGGGCCTCGATTTATGGAAAACTTGCTCCATCTCACCCGGTGCCGGTTTTTCCTTCACGCCTATGTACATCCACGATTTCCGCCTTAAATCCCACCTGGCATGAATTGGAGCTCTTACCACCGCCCCCTCACTCTGTTTCTTAACGGGACCGCGCCGGAATATACCTACCTACCTACCTCACAAATATCCTGCACCCACCCTGTAACTAAGGACCGATAGCGGAGGGCCCGTACCCCGGTATCTGCGCACTATTATGAAGAAACCAGTAATGTCATTCTGCGGCGTTCACCCGTTCGATTCGGGGCCGGTTCATGTCATTGGCTTTTGCCCACATTTTTTTAACCTCGTCGTTGCTCCCACGGAGAGAGGTAAATAAAAAGTGACGGACACGAGGAATCGAACCTCGATCTACCTCTTATCCCGGACCATGGGAGAATTCACGAGGTCATGCTATCCTTTGCACCATATCCGACTGTGGGGGGTGAATGTGTACGCCGTTCATGAGGGCCCGGTTCTGAGATACCATCTGGTTCGCGTCTCAAGTCAAATTCCAGATCCCTCAGTCTCCAAGTCCACCAATTTCCTCGTGTATTAAATCTGACATGTAACACATTATGGACACGCCGAAAATCATCAAGCACATCGCTGGAAACCCAGTGAATAACCCGCGGACATCGTCGCCAATGAGACAGACATACGATATCAGTGACATCCCTATCAATGTGGTCGTGCGCGACGCAAGAAAGGCCAGCACAGCACGCGCGGTATTGCATGACCACGCCATCGTGGGTCACCCCGCAGTATTCTCTCGTCAATGAGCAATCCTGGTCGGGTGAGGTCGAGCCGGCCGCGCCATGGAAAAATGTGAGTACGAGGGCGGAGAGCGCGAAACCGATGAGCTTCATGAGCACGAATTGGAATGTGAATTGGGTGAAGGAGAGTCCCACTTATAACCAGGTGAGGAAAGTCGTACGATGTGTTCTTGAGACGCAGTGGTTTTGGCCGGCGAACCTACGTAGACAGAGCGGCAGGAGTGCAACGTAACGGCGAAGTAATCCTCGGCGTCGCCAAATTTGCATTGAAGAAGCCAAAAGAAGGAGGGAGTCCCGCGCTCCCCGGAAAGGTTTTACGAGGCATCTGGGCGTCGAAATTTCATATGCCGGCCATGGAGCGCGCAAGGTGCAAAATAGGATCGGGATGGGATACCGCGACAATCCTGGATAGAGTTCGCCCATGAAAGGTCAAAAAATCGCGTGCAGAGATCAACGGGACTCACCGTACGGAGATCACAAACTCCACTGTGTCTCCGCCAATGCAGAAAAGAAAGGGGATATATTAAAGTAAGCGCCAACCTATTACACCCTCCCATATCCGCCCTCCGCCAGGAAGATCTTCATGCGCTGCACGATTGCATCCAAGCCAACAAGCCATCGCTTCAGTTCCGCCTCGAACTTCTCACCATCCCCGCCCTCGCATATTTGCGCGTAGAAATGATCCCGCCGTGGAACTGCACGAATGGCGAGCTGGAGAACCATGAATCCAGGTGAAAGGAAATGAATGAAAAAGCTCGTACTGTAACGACGGAGCGCACCACGAAAGTGTGGTGATGCCGGAGAACAACATCGTACGCGCGCCGGAAGCAAACATGCAGCGCACAATTGGGTTCCGTTTGCATTGTTTGGAGCGCGAGACAGGTAAACGCCAGACCGCTACCCAAACGTGTGAGTGACCGAAATAACACAGTTAATGTGCGCACCGAATAAGGCGGACAAGACATTGGGTCCCACGTTTAGCCTTCCGCGCATGTTCTTGCCGTACTAGATCTTCAAGCGTGGCAGATTCGGCGCGTGCAGAGTCGTATTCTTGTCGTACGCCCTGCGCCACGCATGGGCTCAAAACGGGCCGAGGGATGATTACACCGTTTACGCACCGCGATGTTGCTCTTGATATCCGCTTGCACAAATCCGAAGACACCAGAGCCCAAAAGGTCTGCGCAGAATAATTTTGAGGTGGGTATCTACAATATTTTCGCTCCGGAGAATAACGCACCGAACATGGCGACTAAACCATCCGAAGCGAGTAAAAATTCTTCAGTCTGCACCCCTTCCTCCTTGATGGGCACATCCGCGAAAGACTGTTTGGCACAAGTTTGGCACGATTATGGGAGGATCTGACCAACGAGTGCGAGCGCGGTGCGCACCTTTACTGTCTCGAAGTGAGGGGTCATTAGGGTCAACGGCCCAATAACGGGCAGCCGTAGAGGCCTCTTGTAGCTCGTAGCCTTACGGATGAAGCGTGGACACGAGCATGTTGTTTCCACGTGGATACCGCAATGTATCGGAGGTGGCTGTGTTGGCGTCCGAGTCGCCCCCGGGCCGAGCAGAGAAAAGGTTCAATTTCCACTCACGATAACGGTTCACGATAAAGGTTGTGGTGTTTGTCAGGATCTTATGCGCAGGTTGCCTGTCGGAATGCCGAGCGCGAGCTGCTTCCGGGAATATGACAAGCAGATACTTCAGTTGACCCGTCGAAATATCTGAGATGGGTGCATGGCAGCACATGCCGGTCGGAATCAAGCCGGAATCGTCATGAGGCGTCTTCATAGGTCGGATGGAGGCCGTTTTCCGATCGGCACCCACGACGTTGACATCGACAGGAGAATCGAGTTCCAATGGCCTGCGCAGGATAGATTTCGCCTGGGGAATGATCGTTCCATTTCTGACGAATCGAGGCGTAGAGTAAGGGCGTGCGTTTCAACTCGTAATACCAATGAGTGTGAGAGCGAAGTGAGGCCATCCCCCCAAGTAGAAGTCCAGGTGTCAGGCGATAGCTGTGGACTAAAAAATTATTGGATCGGTGCGGTAAGTTGAGATAAGGATAATTGAAGGCGAGGCGGAGCGTGAAACTGTCGGCAGACAGACTGAAAGAGATAGAGGGTCCTCTTCCGCGGAGGAGCCAGGGAAATCATTGATAACTTGAGTCCAATGTGTGGACGACAGAGCGCCGAGTGCAGGAACATCCGCATGATGAAACTCTGCCAAGAGACCGGGGAAGGCACGAGAGGCGAAAGAAAGCACGCGGAGTGGAGGCATGGCGAGGGCCGATTCTTCAGTCAGATATGAGCATGAGCTGAACGATCTTCGGCTGATCTGCAAAACACCGTGAGTGCCAGTGTGATCTCCCAGAACTTCTTTGCGAGTCCTTTATGCGTTATCTGGGATTGGATCAGCGGTCAACTTGGAAGAAAAGAAAATCGAGCGTGCGAGGACGAAGGCGAAAGGCGGGGGGGTGTGAATCGAAACTGCAAGGACGAAACATCGATCTGAACTGATAAAAAATGACATGCCCCGGGAGGAAGGGGAGATGACGGGCAAGAAGAGACACGGAGAAATAGATAGGGAACGCGAGAATTGATAGGGGAGAGCGGAATAAAGACGGTAGGGAATGTCCAAATGTGCGACGCGACGGAGACTGTTTGAGGAGTAAAGGACAAAACTCACGGACATATATCAGATCCCTCGACTCCGTGCAACAGGTGTGATAACGAGGGGATCACCAGATACTTACAGATGAAAGAACTTGAGAGAAAAAAATTAATGCCTGATCCAGAAGGGCATCCAGCACATCATGCGCACGACGCGGTCGCCGCAGCGTAACTACACAAGAGGTTAACAAGCGACGCGATATCAGTATGAGCGTGGTGCAAGGAAAACGACCGAAAAAAAGGAAACAATTGAGCAGGACAGTTGCGAGGAGGCGCAACGCTCCATCGCCGCCCCCGCCCGCCGGAATCTCGGGATCTCGCCAAAGCGCGAGAGTTGCCTCATTGATCCACGCCTACCCACCGACCAGTGCCCGCCTCTACTATATCCCGCTCCATCGATGGAGACATAAGGACACAAAGAGGTTGGGGCTGGCCTGCGCCGATGCAGTGGCAACGCGATAGATGGGACGGGGACGGCGGGCAGGTACAGATGCAACGACACGTGGAGCAGCGTGTCGGGGAATGGGGAGGGTTTGGAGGCACGCAGATGGGAGGAAAGTATACTTACGTGGGTGGAGGGAAGGGAACGAAAAGGAAAGGGGAAGCTGTGGCAGTGCTCGGTGGACGCGCCCACGTGATTGATGGGATAAATACGCGCAAGCACCGCGCATCGCGCGTGTTCTTGAGCAATCTGTACAGGATCCCAAACAAAGGTCGACGTGGAAGTACTTTCGTCCTTGCCCTGCGGCGAATATCCGCGGCCAATCCGTGACTCCTTGCATGGCCCGTGGGTTCCGCCCATCGCCTTCCTTCCCACACATTACGATCTTGCGGGTGCCCACAAGCCATCGAGCTACATCTTATCAATAAATCCTGGACTTCCACCTCAAGCCTCCCATTACTGACCCCTTCACACGCTCTCAGAGTAAGGACCGGCCGCCCCCTCTATCAGGTTTACATTTACGATTTCCAACATCCTTGAATCACAAGTCAAGGTACGGTGCCAAAATAAGTACGTGCATTTTAAATCTTCAGCTCTCACCCTCGCTCTCAAATTCCGGGCGCACACCTTCAAGAAAAGGACCGGCAGCGGAAGGCCCACCCCGCATACAATTACAGTGTAATAACGTGAGTTTGCGGTACACCCGTTCGATGCGGGGCCGTAGTCCATGCGTAGAGAGTTGTGTTTTTTTTTTGTCCTCCTGGTATGATGCGCTTGACCTGTCGTCTCAGAGGTATTGTATTTTCCAAGACCGGCAGTTATCATACATCCCTTGTGTCGGGTGTAGACTCGCGCCTCCCAGGATCCCTCACAAGTTCCGATACTAGGATACTACATTTTGTAAATCCCTCCTAACCCACTCACTCATTCACTCACAAATCCCCTTCACCCATCCTGGAACTAAGGACCGGCAGCGGAAGACCCGCACCCGCACGCAATTGCAGTGTAGCCAGACATTACATTTCGTGCTGCACCCGGGGTATAATGAAAAGCTCCGGATCCTTTTTCGTCTCGATGCGATTCGCTTGCCCTGTGTCAGGTTCATCCTCGCGCCTCCCAGAATCACTCAGAACTGCCGATACTACGATACCACATTTTTTAAATCCCGATCCACTCACTCACCCACTCACAAAAACCCTGCGCCCACCCGTGAACTAAGGATAGCGGAAGGCTCGCACCCGCGCACTATTATAACGAGATTTTTCATTTCGGGTCGGGGTCGGTCCCTTGTGACTCTTTAATTTGCTTTTTAGTTTTCAAAAACCTCGTCGTTGGAACCTGGGATTCATTTGAACCGCGTTCACACCGTGGGTCGATTAATGAATGGAACTGAGACCGCGCGGAAGAAGATCAGCGCGAGAGACTCACTAGCGGCTAACTTCTGCCAACTTTCGAATTTCTGCGACGCGCCCGAAACCCTAATCCGATTCTGTTCCACCAAAATGATTTGTTGGCCATACAAATACAATAACACGGACAGATACCA